ATGCTCATATATGTACGTATGAATGTAATATGAGCGTGAGTGCGAGTGCAAGAGTGAATGCTAGCATGCGTGTGTGTGTGTGTATGTGTGTGTGTGTGTGTGTGTGCGCGCGCGCGAATGTATTTGTGTGCGTCGCGTATTTCATTCGCTCGCGACGCGACGAAGCGGAAAAAATAAAGCGAATAAAATATAAAAATGGAAACAACAAAACAGAAACTGAAACCGAAACGGGCAACAAACATAATGGCGCATTCGCTGTGCCGGTTGCCCGCTGGCTGCACGACCCAAGCGAGCGAGCGAGCGAGCCCATTGCCCCTGCCCCACAGAGCCCCCTCCGCCCACCCCCTCCTTCCAACAACCAACAAACCACCTACCCACTATTATATGGGCGCTGCACGCACGCCCATGTTTTGTGTAATTGTGTGCGTGTGTGTGTGTGTGTGTGCGTGACTGAAGGCAGACGAAAATTTCGCGTAAACAATAAAATAATGTAAAAGGTACAACAACAACAACAAATAAGAAGAAAAAATGAAACCGGTTAAAAAAGCAACGAATAAAAGGGCCAACGACTGTTTCTGCTGGCCTGTGCCTCTTGCTGTTGTTGTTGTTGTTTGTTTGCGACCTGCGCCTAGTTTCGATTGCAGGCGGCATTAATTTAAAAAAAAAAAAAAACGCAAATGCATTGTTTTTATTACAGCCGGCGAGGACCAGCCCCAAAAGCAACAGCTCAAATATTGCCTGCTGCCTGCCTGCCCGTCGATCGCAGCGCCGATAAACGAGCTTAACTTATGCTCTTGCAGATGAAGAGTATTGTGCTTTCAGCATTAAACGAGTAACGCATAGAAGAAGTCAAAAACCGCACGCATAGCTATGCTAAGCAATTTAGCTGCACACATTTCTGCAAGGGTATTTAATTTTCGGCGCGCCATAAATAACTGTTCTTTCTGGTTTCTCATTCGCTTATTCATTCATTTAACGGGCCAGCGAGAGCTTTCGGCCAGGCGTCCGTTTTCGGTGAGAGCGCTTGCAAAGTCGACAATATAAAAAGCCACGCCCTTTCGCGATGCGAGGCAAGACGTTGTGTTTATTAGTGCTTTGATAATAAGCTTTTATATTTGCCAGTGCATGTGTGCGTGTACATAATGTATTCGCACAATACGTGTGTGTGTGTGTGTGTATTGTTTATTACACTTTATCGCAGCTCGTAAGCAGCTGCAGCTGCGGAGCTGCCGCCAGCGCTGGAAAAAATCCAATTAACAATTTTATTAGCTATGGTTGAAAAATAATTCATAAATTCATTCTAAACAAAACTGTAATAATCATCATTTTTATGAGCTTGTTGTTTTTTTTTTCAGTTGTGTTTTTGTGGCATTTGTCGCCATTGGCTTTTATTGCTGTTATTTCTATTGCTTTGCCATTTGAATGTGTTTTGGTTTGTTGTTGTTGTTTTTCATTTTAATTAAATTAAAATTGTATTCGCATCGATGACACGTCGTATGCACTTTCGTGATTGCCACCCAGCAAAATGGCGCCTATGTCCCAAACCCCAACCCAATAGGGATTTCATTCTGTCCGTAGGCTCTGCAGCATCAAAGCTGCCCCAAAGGCGACATTTCGACTGCTCTGCTCTGCTCTCTAATACTTAATCAAATATTTTTTACCGCCCTGACACACTCATGTGGGTTATCGTTATGCAACAACAACAACAAAAACAACAACAACAACAACAACAGACACTTGCCCCTAGAGCGCAACAAAGAATTTAATACAAATCGTTGCCTGTCAGCGTACAAGAAGCCAAACAAATTATAACAGGTGCCGCTGCCGCTGCCGTTTTTGAGTGCATTAAGAACCTCACACACACACGCACACACATACGCGCGCGAATGCCCCCAAGTTATGGAATTGAGTCCGGAATGAAAGAACGTGGTTGGGGGTTTGGGGGTGGGGGCCCTCGTATCGGCAGCTAATTTTCCATTGCTTCATAGCCAGATACGAGGCTGGCAGCCAAGTGCTAAACTGTTGGGAATCTGTAAACCAAAACAACAGTTAACGTCACTGAGATTCGGACACACACATACACAGAGAGAGATATGCACACCCACACTCAAGCGCAGACAGCAGCCAGACAGTGTTGGCAAATGTCGCTAAATCGAACAGCTAAAAATAGCCAAAAGCTGAATAAGCAATAGGCAGACTTACATCTGCCAGTCAGCTGAGCTGCCAAAAAAGAGCTAAATTTAGCCTTAGCTAGAAAATAGCTGAATGGGCAGCACTGCAGCCAGAGCCAACTGCCAACAGCTCCCACAGTCGGTGATTTAATGTGGGAACAGCAAATGGCGCTGATGTTGAACACGTGCGCGGCGCCGGACAGCCAGCCAGCCCTCTGCTCGAATGGGAGTTCGAAGCCGAAAGTGTCCCATGCCACAGCACTGAATGTTGCATGCCACTTGGCTGCTTGGCTGTGTCTTTTGCTTGATTTAATTTAAAAGCAATTCAAAAAAAATCAAAAAGCCAACTTCAATGATTTTAAACTGTGCGTTTAACCCAAGTAATTAAAGCTGTGCCTCAAATGACAACAACAACAACAACAACAACAACATTTGTGGACCTGCGGACCACAGCCGGGTTGTTGCAGCAGCCATGGGGCACGAACTTCAACTCCGCGACTCGCTTCATTTGAAAATTTATGACTTTTTGACAGCCCACATTATTGTTTAATCGTGACTTTTGGTCCAAATCTGAGAATTCGAGAGTGTTTGCCTCTTTCCACAGAGTTTACAGCGTTAGGATTTGATACGAGCATTGATATTAAAAATTCGAACGCGCGAATGACACCAGCATATTATATTCATTCCGATCGAGCCTGCCTGCCTGCCAGCTCGACTAGTTAATTAAAAACACCCACATGCCAGGCCAAAAGGCAGCAACAGCTCGTTTGCCAAATGTCCACTTGGCCGGGCAATTGTAAATGATATACCCTCGCATCGATCGATGTGTTCAATTAACACACACAGTCCCCTCCGACTCCTGCCTCCTCCCGCTCCATCCTGCCCAAGTTATGTGGTATTTTATACGAAATTTTATGCAAAGAAGAAGAGACAGCAAGAGGCGAGCTGAAGGTGGTTGACCAACTCGACGGACTGGGCCCAATGTTTGCACAAGATTATCAAAAGGGGGGGGGGGGGCAGCCAAAAGACGAAGCTATTAAAAATTATATAAATATCCATGTATCTGACTCAGTGCAAGTGTGTACGCATGTATGTATGTATGTATGTATGTATAATTGTATGTATGTAAAGTCTGGCTCATTGTTGATCAACGCGGCACACTGTCTATCAACAATGAAATAAAAATGAAAGAAAAACAAAAGGGGGCCTAACAAGAGTTTTATTGAAGAAGAGACACATGCATGGGCATACCTGTGCCTATGCACACACACAGATACACACAGATACACACACTCGCACACACTCGAAAAGTGGCAGAGAGGCAATAAAACCCATTTAATATTCATTTAAGGTACTAACAAATAATGCAAATATTTAAACATTTTATTTACATATGAACGCCATCAAAGAGTTGAATTGAAAGAGATCTTTCAATTGATGAAAGGTGAACGAGATACCCCTACCTACTCCTAGACCCGAGCTGCAAACGTACCAAGATGATGCTCCACGCCAGAGCCACAGCCAGAGCCAGAGTCGGAGTCAGAGTCAGAGTCAGAGCTCAGCGAAACAGATGAATCTATTTGTATTTATGAGCATGTGTGTATGCACTTAGCTCAGTGTGTGTGTGTGTGTGTGAGTGTGTGTGAGTGTGTGCGAGTGTGTGTGTGCGTGTGTGAGTGTGTATAATAAATGCCTTGTATGACCATTTAGCATGTCACCTTTTAACGGCTCCATGGCAAACAAAACGAATACATCAACCGAAAACGAATACTCCCAGACCCGGGCTCTGCTTAATTTTGAATCAACAATTTAACATTATAATTACGTTTCGAATCATCTGCAAACACAGTCGCGACTCGAAGAGGAATTGCATCAATACAAAGCTTTTAGTCATTCGTCCCGGCCATAACATAATATATATGGGCTCCCATCTGTCTATAGAGAGGCAGGCGATTGTAATAGTTCCGACGGCAAAACAACGATAACTTTATTTAGATTATGAAGAAGCAGTCTTAAATATATATACAATATTTGATTGAATATCGTATTTTGTTCTATTCTATTCCATATAACATTTGATATTGCTTATCATATAACCGACACATAAATCTAGGATAGAAGGCAATAGCTTGCATTTTTTATGGTAAAACTAATAATTGGTAATACCCGGCATTACGAATGCTTTATTTGAAGTTTTTAACTCAGATTCCCCCCTATTTTTCGGCAGTGCGCATTAATTTTTTTGTAACTTGGAAATAGTTCGAATGCTTTTGTATGGAAACTGAATATTTTAATTTCAGCCGAGATATATATATAAAAAGATTCAGATCTTCGCTGCTGATAAAAAATTGTAGTTTAATATCAAATAAAATTTTTATTTGTATATAATAGAATTTTAAAGATTTTGAAATTTTGGAGCAAAAATTAATTTGTAACACTTGCAGAAAGAATTTTTGAAAAGACGTCCTGGTGCTCAAGTCAGAAAACTCAAGTCACAAAAAGAAAGTATTGTCAATATTATTTGGATTTCTTAAAGCCCGATCATTCTCTCAGTCCACACAAAAAGTTTTATTTATATAGATTTGTTTTATATACAACTTAAAACAATTTCATAAATAAATGGAGTATAAATCTAAAATTCCCTTAGCTCCACTTTATGGTGCTAATAACAGCAGAATAGTACAGAGAGAAGTGTACAGCTTAATATAGGGTATTGTGAGGTATTATGATGCTGTTGTAAATAACTTTTAAATCGCTTTCTTATTATTGTACCTATTTCTGATATTTTAGGCGTATTCTGTTCTAAATCTTCGTCTCCCTTTTGCTTACCAAGTCGTCACCCAAATCGGAATCGCGTTCAATATTGTTATTTGAACGGCCGCTGCAATCCATAGTCGGATGCATTCGGAGTTGCATTAGTGCGAGGTTTCCAATTGGGCGCTCCGGTTGAAAATTGAAATTTCTTTTATAATTGCAAAACGCAGATGGCAAATTGTTTCGATTTATAGCGGAATTAATGCGCGAGCTTTTAACTTTCTACGTAGTTTACACAGCACACTTTGTTGTTGTTGTTGTCGTTTCTCTTTCTCTTGCTCCTCTCTCCTCGTTTTGTTTTTGTTGTTGGTGTTTGCCTGTTTCGCTTATTGCTTTTGCTCCTGCGTTTATATCATCGAACTACCGTTATCAAATAATCGAGCTGTCACCTCGCTTTGTGCTCTTGTTGTTGTTGTTGTTTTTGTTGTTTTTGGTTTATTTCGTTGCAGCGGCAGTGAAAAAGGGAATTGCTTTAAAGCACCGTTAACTGAGCTCGCGTTTCTTTTCTTTCTTTCTTTCGCTTGTTGTTTGTTTAATTTCAGCACATGCTTAAATTTGCTTGAGCTGCCGTTGAATGCAATATCGAAATGAAATACACTTATTTTAATTATTGAAATGTTTAATCGTTCTGCTTATCGCCAGCTCCTTTTTGAGCGTGCACAACACACACAAAACACACACACATAAACACATTCAGATCACATTGGAATAAACGACGTAACGTTGGTATTGTTGTTGTGTTAACTGTTACCTGATGGTGCCTGATCGGTATTGAGATCGGCTCCTGTTGCTTATTAATAATCAATTTGTTCATTTATTTCACGTTTGATATCGCGCACTGTCCGCCGCATTCGCCCGACGCACACGGAACTCCAATTGGGAATAAAAATGATTCTCTCCGCACATCAAAAACGACGCGTCAAAAGACAGCGCGCGCGAAAATGCCTCTCTCTCTCTCTCTTACACCTACTCTCTGTTGCCTTGGAACGGCTGGCAAATGAAACACATGAGAGGTGGCTGCGCTTGTGTGCGTGCCATTCCCATTCGTTTTCAATTGTGACGCGCTCTCTCTCGCCAGCTGGTCTGGCTGGCTGGCCAATCGGATTGTCGTTTCAGCTGCGCTCAGGTGGCATTCAATTAAATTTGTAATCGTAATCTATGCAATACGAAAGTCGTGTGTGTATACAATGCGCTCGCCGCTCATTCGTTCACTACACACAGACACACACACACACACACACTCACACAGGCGGGCACAAGCACATGCCGCTCGCACTCGCTTGCGTATGTGTGTCCGTATAAGCTGTGCCCCCCGCGTGTATTAGGGAGACTACACTATGAAGCATGTTTTAGGTGCTTGATTCGAGTGCTGTTTGCCTAGTTTTTAGTGGACGCGTTTTGCATAACGAAGTCAACGCAAATGTGCTGTGTAGTGCTTTTGAGTGTGTGTGTGTGTATGCGTGTATTGTTTGTGTATCTTTCAATCATAAATGTGCCGCTTTTTTATACGCGATTTAATTTAAAATACGCCCTTTTCATATGGAGAGCCGTAGTTTGTGGGGCGTTAACATTTGCGGCTTGCCTATGCCAAATGGCGTTTGATATGCAGCGCTAAGAAGGAAAACAGGCGAGGGAAAACTCAATCGAGCAAATTACACACTTTCCACAAACATTGGAACTGCAACTTGATTAATGATTTGCGAGATAAATTACACTTGTAATGGCCCAAAAACAAGGTAGGTGGAATGAATGGTTTGGCTATATAGATAATATAGAATGCCGTTACCGTTACATTTTCCAGCAGCCCCCGCAAATAATTTCACTTGCTGTTCGATTTTCACTAATTTGAAATTGATGAAAGCAGCGCAGCCCCAGCAGCGCCCCAGCAGAGAGAGAGTATATCAATTTTCGCCGGCCTGTCTGTTAAAACAAACATATACATACATATATATATATATATATACAAATAGATAGATATATATGTATTGTAGGGAGCGCAGGCGCTCATCAAACACCACCAGGAGCAGCGCACACCCTGCCCGTCCGCCTGGCTATGGCAGGGGGGTGGCTGTACTGAGTGCCACCCCCAAGCGCCAATGATGAGGCGGCGGCGGGGGCGACGGCGGCAGCGACCCACAGACTTGACTGATGATGAAGTGAGAAAGTAATTAAATACAATTTTAAATGTGACTAATGAGACGACGTCAAATTCGTGGCGCAAATGAGTTGGCCCAGGAGAGCCAGGAGGTGGGCTGGTGCGGGCCAGTTGGGGGGTGGTGGGGCGTCTTCGAGCTGAACGCATTTATCAATATTCAATAAATAGAACGGCATTTTCGCACGCACACTACAGCAGATACGCAGATCGTTTTGTGCGTGTGAAACAAAATGTATCCACAAGATACGCGGCATAAGTGCGCGCACTCACACACACACACGCACACACACATGCCTATATGCCTTGGCAAGTATAACAATTACCGTTTGTTGTTGCCGTTGTTAACTTTCATTTGGGGCCTGAGCTATTTGATTTTCAAAGTACGTCCCGTCCGCATTTCAAATGCTAAAAATCAACGAACAAAAAAAAAAGCACAGGTGAAATTTGTTGTGAGCTGTTTTTGTGTTTAATTCGTAGATACATATATTGGTAAATACGTGTACGAGTACGAACATCGTTTATTTGTCAACACGTCCATTTCCTGCATTTTGTGTTTTAGCCGAAAATGAAATATGTACCCGAAACAATTCGAAAATAAATAAATAAGCGTATATGAATAGAGCGAAAAGGCGATACCAAGATACAGCTACAGCTACAGACACAGATACAGATACATATGCGTGTAGATACATATAGGTATTTACAGGTATTTCATGCTATTGTACACACATCCGTCGTGGCTTTTAGGGGCCTCATTAGTTGATGACTCTTACGAGTTTCAGATTTGAAAATTACACTTATCCATTGGACTTTGCAAGTGCGAGACTTCATAGGAAATATAACATGGGAATTCGTTTGGGAATCCGATATTCTGACTAAGTGCGGGAACTTTTCTGCTCCGATAAACCGAATATGCGTCTACATGTGCCTACATTCTTTTACTCTTAAAGAAAAAGCCGCAAGTTTACAAAACTTACTCATTTATCACTTTGAAAAGTATCGATTTGTAAATTAACAGACAGTTTAAGGAAGTGCTTAACATATATTACATACTTGTGCTTCAATCATGATATAATTCTCTACAAAAAGGAAATGTAACAAAAGAAATTACTTTGATCTATTTGTATTTAACTACACTACAATAATCTCTGCTATATTATATTATATTTTATTATATATGTTATACTTTTAATATATTATATGAAGAAGAAATCGCTTTGATCTTTACTGCAATAAGTATATATAGTATATTATATAATAATATAATATAGTAGAAAATAGTATTGTGCAATAAAATACTAATAGATCAATGCTTCTTCTTCAACATTTATGGTTCTTTTCTTGGAAGAGAACTATATTATGATTTAAGCACATACAACTTATACACATATAGCTCATACTTATTCATATGCTATGCCATATTATATTCTTTTGTATAAAGCTGATTGCATTGAAAATATTTTACATTTTACTTGAATATGCGCTCTCTAAGCAAGACTTTATACTCATATATATTTATACTCCGAATTTACGCCATAAAATCTTTCAAAATTGTTTGCAATTGAAATATAATTTATACAAATTTTATATTTTATATACATATATATAAGTAGAAGCAAATGGCATTTGAATTTCCAAAAGATGGCTGAATATCTGATGCCCAGCAAGAGTTATATTCGGTTTATTTGAAAACTCGAATCATCTAATAATCACAGTTTAACAGATCATTAGAATGCCCGCCCATTCACATATTTATTTTGATACCTGTTAGCGGAATGTGCTTCAGCCAAAATGGAGGCTTTCCCTCGGCGTGTCCGATAAAAAATGCGAATTTAATTACACGTAATTAAGCAGACATTTACAATTTCAACGCGCAAACGAGGCTCAGCGTAGGGTCAATTAATTAAACACCATTTAAGCCAATCATTAATTCATAAAATGCAATTTGTCAATCCGGGACTGGGACTGCGACGGGGACTGGGACTGCGATGGGGACGGGGACGGACAATCAAAAAAGAGTTCGAGAAACGTGTGAGAAAGCGATTTTGTTGAACTAACAACTCTGTGAGTGTAGCTCAACCTGTTTAGCATTCGGCTACGGCCCTGGGCCAGTGGCATAGCCAAAGCCAAATTGATTGACCAGATCAACGTGAACGAACGTGAACTGAACGTCGTGAATGAACTCGCAAAGCATCGCCGATAATTGATGATATTTAGCCTAGCCATATGCCAGACTATTTCTCTGTATGCACAGCCCCGGCCAGAGCAAAATCTAGATGGCCAGCGGATCATTTTCAGATCGAATCGTTTCACACACTCACACAGAATTGGCTTGCGGCTAACCAAAAAAAGAACCACCAAAAAATTCAATATTAATTTGTTTGTGGCCATCTCGTTGGTCGTGGGTCGCCTCTGGATAGCTCTAGCCTTTCAATACATCTCCCAATTAGTAGTAGAAAGACAGTTAGAAGCAATCGACGAATTCATTCACAAAAAACAAGTAAGCGTGCTCCGGTCAGGAGTGCTCGACTTGAAGATACCCTCTAGCCAGCGACAAGCTAACGTTTCAGGCTTTCTTCGATATTTTGTCTTCTTCCCTTTGTACCTATTGCATGTGCACTCTTGATAGCTTCGGTATTCAGAGTCCGATCTTCATACAATTTTTAGAGCTTATATATGACACTCAAATGTGTGCCAGTTTTTTTTCATTAAAGATGGGATTTATTTATACATTTTGGGGAGGAAAGGGGAAGTTATACAATCGTTATAGTTATACAATTAAGATATCGGTAATACACAAAGGAATATAGAGCAATATTTGCTTCAAACTTCAAGTCCCTTCTGAGATCGTCGCTATTAGCTGGACAGACTCAGTTCCTGACCTGATCAAGTATATATACACTTCCTGAGATGCTTTCTTCTGCCTGTTACATGCATTTACCCAAAAACATTATACCCACTTACAATGAGCTTAGGGTATAAGAAACAGTATGCAGCTGGGCCAGATTGTCCAGTTATGCCCGTCTAACTATCATCATTAACTGGCCAGTTTTGGTTGAACTGTGGCAACAGCTCCATTTTTCGCGTCAACTTCCTCGCTGGCTAGTTTATTTAAATATAAATTTAGTTTTTTTTTTCGGTTCAGACTTGTTTTATTTTTTAATTTTTAATGAAGTCGAGCAAACGCTGCCAAAAATAGAATATCAATTTGGGCAAAAAGCATAACGGATGCGCCTGTCAATATTTTGACAGTTTCTCTCCCAGCATAAAGAGGCCCACAGAATGAGGCGAGCATTGGAGCAAGAATCGGAGCCAGCGCGAGACTTTCTGACGGCGCATCTGGCGGGTCTCCGGCTCCGGCTCCATCTCCGTCTCCATCTCCGTCTCCATCTACGTCTCCATCTCTGTCTCCGTCTCCTTCTCTGGATTTGGTGCCGTGTAATGTACGCTGCCATTCCGGGAATGTTACAGCAAGCCTTTTAATTGAATTTCGCTGGGGCTGCGGCTTCTGCTTCTGCTTCTGCTGCTGCTGCTGCGGCTTCTGCTGCTGCTCTGGACTGTTTTGGGGGCATATTTATTTTGAATCAACGCAACGAACGAAACAAATAAATGGATTTCTTGTTTTTTTTTCTTTTAATGCTTTTTGTATAAAACTTCAGAAATGATTAATATGCGCTAATGTTTTATAACTTTGCCCTTAATATGCGCATATCAAG